AGCCTGGATTCTGGCAGTTCTCTGCTGATGTGCTGTTCCAGTCATTTTTGGATAATCTTCAGTAGAATCTTGCTTGCATGTGAAATCAATGATATCATTCTATAGTTTCCACACTCTGCTGAGTCACTCTTCTTTGGAATGGGAACAAATATAGATCTCTTCCAGTCAGTTGGCCAAGTGGTTGTTCTGAGATTTCTTGACACAACTTGGTGAGCACATCCAGGGCAGCATCTGTTAGCTGAAATATCTCAACTGGTATACCATCTATTCCTAGGGTCTTATTTTTTGCTATTTCCTTCAAAGCAGCTTGAACTTCTTCCTTCATCACCACAGGCTCTTGCTCGTATGTGACTTCATTAAATTCTTGTCTGCCAGTTCCTTTTGATACAGTGACTCAGTATATTCTTTCCATCTTCTTTTAATACTTCCTGGATCATTTAATATTATGCCTAAAGCATCCTTGATTATAGCAACTCGAGGTTTAAATTTGTTCTTCAGTTCCTTGAGCTTAAGAAATGCTGAGAGAGTTCGGTCCTTTTGATTTTCTGACTCCAGCTCCTCGCACATTTCATTGTAATATTTTGCTTTGTCATCCCGTGCTGCCCTTTGGAATCTTCTATTTAGCTCTTTAGTATCTTGAATTCTTCCTTGTGCTTTGGCTTCTCTATACTCCAGTGCAATCTTCAGAGTTTCTTCTGACATCCATTTTGATCTTTTATTCCTCTTCTGTCTTTGTAATGACCATTTGCACTCTTCTTGGATGATACATTTGACATCCTCCCACAACTCATCTGGTCTTCGCTCATTAGTGTTCAAGGTCTCAAACCTCTTCCTGAGATGGTTCTGAAATTCAGGTGGGATGAACTCAAAGTCATATTTTGGTTCCTGTGGATTCTTTTTAATTTTCCTTAGCTTCAGCTTGGACTTGCATATGAGTAGCTGGTGGTCTGTTCCACAATCAGCTCCTGGCCTTTTTTTCACAACTGATATTGAGCTTCTTCAGCGGTTTTTTCCGCAGATATAATAAATTTGATTCCTATGCATACCATGAGGTGAAATCAATGTGTATAACCTGCGCTTATGTTTCTTATGAAATGTATTTGCAATGAATAGGTCATTGATTGTGCAAAATTCAATCATTCTATCTCCAGCTTCATTTCTTTCACCATGTCCATGTTTTCCAACTACTGATTCTTCTTCTCTGTTCCCAACTTTTGCATTCCAGTCACCTATTATTATCAAAGCATCTTGATTGCATGTTCGATCTATCTCCGACTATAAAAGTTGATAGAAATCATCTTTCTTCTTTTTTAGCTCTGGTTGTTGGTGCATATATCTGAATGATAGTGGTATTCACTGGACTTCCTTGTAAGCGTATGGATATAATCCTGTCACTCACAATGTTGTACTTCAAGACATATCTAGAAATTACTTTTTTAACTATGAAAGCAACTCCATTTTTCCTCGCCTTTTCATCTCCGGAATAATATATCGTATGATTTTCCATATGGCAGAGTTTTTTCCCCTCATCCCTATTTGCAGATACCATTCCAACTTCCCACACTTTAGATTATTTCCTTAGATCTCAGCTTAGATATCAGCATTATCTATTTCACATCATTCTGCACTCACCTGTCATAGCATTTGTCAAGCTGTACAGTTAGTTGTCAACTGCTTGTTTAAAACCCTCACTAGACAGTAAGCTCCATGAAGGCAATATGCTTAACTATTGTGTTCAAGTCATAGCTTCAATGCATTGTGCAAAACAAGCGTTGAAAATGTATCAAATATATGTACTCATCACTTAAAGAGTAACTTGGTGTGAGTGGGAATGTATCAATGCTAGATATTTAAAATCTTATATTTTTTTTAAAGGAAGGTCCATACAAGAGAGGAAGACCCTCAAAGGGCTATTCAGCACAGTGGTTACAACAACAGGTGTAAACACAGCAGAGACTGTGAAGATGGCGCAAGATTGGGTGGGATTTTGTTCTATTGTACTCAGGGTACAACTGCAATAAGTCCCTAGGATTGTCTCTTATTCTGCTTCTGTGTCCATTATAAATGATAAACAAATTTAACTTTAAAATATTTTTCAATGAAATTTTATAAATTACTATCTTAAAGATGCAAGCTATGAAACTATATTGTTAGATGCTGTCCAGTAGAGTACAACTCAGAGCAACCCTATAACAACAGGTCTGAACCCTGTCCTAACCTGTGCCATCTTCATCATCTATGATATACTTGAGTCCATTGCCGTAGTCACCATGTAAATCCAACTGGTTGAGGGTCTCCCTCTTTTTCACTGAAATTTTCTGAGGAATAACCCTTCCTAACAATATGTCCAAAGTATGTAAGATTAAGCTTTCCTGTTCTTGCCTCTAGTTGTACTTTCTCCAAGATGTACCCATTTGTTCTTTTGGCAGTCTGTAGGATATTCAGAACTCTTCTCTAACACTACAATTCAAAGACACCAATTACTCTTCTTTCATCCATATTCATTTTCCAGATCTCAGATACATAGTAAATGACTGGAAAGACCATGGCCCAAATCAG